CGTCTAGGGCGCCTCCTGAGCCGTCTTGGAGCCGCCCTGGGGCGTCTTGGGACCCTCTGGGGGGCCTTCGGGGCCGTCTTGGGGCAAGCTTAGAGGGTAGTAAGGCTGTCTTGGGCATTGTGGAAATGAGAAACGCGAGAATGCTAAAAGTGCACGTTTTCCGAGAAAGGATTGGGACGATGTTTATCTTGGGGTCCTCCTGCAAGCCTTCTCCGAGGCCTCTGTGGGCGTCTTGAAGGCCTCTTGGGCAGCCTTGCGGCTCTCCTGAGCGTCTGGAAGCCGTCTTGGGGCCGTCTTTAGCCTTCTTGGGGCCACCGTGAGCCACCATAAGCCGTCTTGGGGTCACCCCGCGGCCCTCTGGAGGCGTGGGGCGTCCCGGGGGCCGCCCGGGAGCGCGCCCGGGCTGGCCGGCACGATGGTGAGTCATTGGCTCCCCTGCCCTTCCCGCACGCGGCGCCGCTGGCTTTGTAGTGTAGATGTGGTCGGGCTCGAGCTTCGCCCCCCGCATCTCGCTGAGCAGCGCCAGAGCCCACTGCCATTGCTCGCCCTTCTCGCACGCGCTGATCCCAGCGCTGTAGATGATGACGCTGGGCTCCAGCTTCGTCGCGCACATTTCGCTGAGCAGCGACAGAGCCATCTGCCACTGCTCGCCCTTCTCGCACGCGCTGATGCCAACGCCGTAGCTGACGACGTTGGGCTCCTCCTTCGCCTGCCACAGCTCGCCGAGCAATGCCAAGGCCCGCTGCCACTGCGCGCCTCTGCTGCACGCGCCGGCTGTTGCAAGGTATTGGCCCGGGCTGGCTGCCGAATGGCATCGAGACGCTTCGCAAAAGATCTGCAGCGCTGAGCTCCACTGCCTGGCCTTCCCACAATTCCGAATGGCCGCTTCGAGGGCCCGCCGGCCTTCGAGGTCCCCGCCCTGCCGTGAGCCTCGCCGGATGGCGAGCATGCCAAGGGAGATCGGCCATGGTTGAAGACTTTATCCCGGCTTGCTTGAGCCAACATTGCTATGGAACCTCCTGCTCCACCTTCTCTTCCACCTTCTCCTCCTCCTCCCTTTTTCGACGTTGGGCAGACTTTAGCTACGTGGCTGAGGCGTTCCTGTGGGAGAACCAAAAAAGCAATGTGAAGCCGACTTAGGCATAGCGACAGACAAATTAAGCAGACGGCCCGTGCAGAACAGGACGCGCGACCAGAGAAAGACACATATTGGCCCAACAAGGCCTGGCGCAACGCCGCCGTCTGCTGTTGAGGAGACAAGGTGCAACACCAAGCTATACAAGACGTGCCCTCCTCCCTCCTCTCCCGACCCGTACCCTTCCACCGAGGAAGCCAAGGCCGGGCTGCCATGTCTGCGGCCGCACTGCGTTTTTTTTTTTTTTTTTGGGGGGGGGGGGGGGGGGGCGCCGCCGCGCCCCGCAGAGTGTCGCGTGCGCCGAAGATCGGCGGCGAGCCCGGGGGGGGGGGGGGCAGCGAGACGGAGGAGGCCTCCCCGGAAGGCCTGGAAGGCCCGAGGCCCTCCGAGAACTGGTCGAAGCCTGCCCCGAAGACGCGGGTGACCTCTCAGGAGGCGCGAGGGCTTCTGAGAAGTCCCGCCGCCTCCTGCAGAGGGCCCTCCCCCTGCTCGCGTTTCCCCCCCCCCCCCCCCCGTCGCTCGCAGCCGTGAGGCGGGGTTCCAGGAAGACGGGGGGGTGCGCACCGTGGCCCGAGGCCTCTGCGCGGGCGAGCGGGGGCCGAGGGGATTATATATATATACATATATAAACACATTATATATATATATTGTTTCTGTGTTTTTTCGTCTACAGCAGATAGAACAAAGCAGTCGAAGAAGAACTGGAGTGACACAGCAAAACGGTAATTATCAGCATCAACTCTCGGAGGCCCGCGCGGACTTCTTGGGATCGGCGCGGGGCGTCCCCTCCCTGGCGCGCAGAGCGCGCCCGGGGAGGGGTGGGGGAGGGCATCACAGCCCAAGGCGTCTTCGCGGACGAGCGGGGGTCAGGCGACGTGCTGAACGAAGAAAGATGGGCGCACAAAATCAGGGAGATGTCACGGTTGTGGCCATGACTAGAGGAAAACAACACCGCACGAACATCAACTTTCAGATGTCCGCGCGGACCTCAAACCGTGTATGTATGTACGTATGATTGTGGCGGTTTCTGGAAACCCTGAACTCAAGAATGTTGTCATCTCTTGGGGGCGGATCTTTTACTTCCGCCGCCTTCCGCCGCCTTCCGCCAGCCATCCGCCAGCTTCCGCCGGCGGAGGCGGCCTCGTTTCACTCCCGCCGAACTTCTGCCGCGGAAGAGATGGCAAGTCCTTCGATCCTCGAAGGCGCAGCCCTTCCTGGAACGCCCCGTACGTTCTGTGCTTCAAAAGATGAGGGGCGCACGACGTCCGTGAGACTTCAGGGCCCAGGCATTGATGTGCCCCCCCCTCGCCCCCCCCCCCCCCACGTCGATGCCTTGTGGCTTTCGGGCCATAGCTCGGGCCTCCGGCGGCCGTTCGGGACGCTCTGGGTAATTACAACCAGAACCCTCGACGAGGCGCAGCTGCTGGAAAGCACCCAACGGCGAGAAAATCTCCAAGAGCCAACGACCACTTCTTCACCCCCTCTCAAAGAGGCCCCCCGAACCTCTCCCGGGGTGCGTTCTGAAGAGAGATTTGAAGAGAGCTGTGGCGACAACCTCCGAGGAGAACCAAAAAGGCCCAAATGACCCCAGCAACGCAGCGTAATAGCAGCCTAAGCGAAGAGGCGCGTCGAGGAATAGGAGGTCGAGACACGGCCGTGCACACGTTAGTGCATTCTTTACAAAAAAGGTCGTGTCCGTACAACCAAGCATGTAAGATTGAGGCTGCTGGAGGCCCCTTCCATAATGTGTGAGGAGAAGGAGGACGAGGAGGAGGATGAGGTCTCAAGCGAAACGGCTGCTGGACCGGGCGGTCCAGGGCTCCCCGTCCCCCCTGTGGGGCTCTTCTGCCATCCTTCTCTATCATTTAGCGAAACGCTAGCCGGGACAAGCGAATGAGGAGGAAGAGGAGGAGGAGGAGGAGGAGGAGGAGGAGGAGGAGGAGGAGGAGAAGGAGAAGGAGGAGGATCAAGAGCAGCGGAATCGGTACCTGTTCCTGCTCTTCCTCACCCCCCACCCTCTGACGGTGACGAGAACGTGCCGACGCCCCCGGCCCTCTTCCAGGGTGCATTCTGACCAGGATTTCCCAGATAATCCAGCCGTGGCGACGAGGTCCTCCGAGGAAACCCTACAGGCTCGGGAGAGTTTTCTCCTAAAGCTGGACGCCGGGCCGACGCCGCGCCAAGACGTGGGTTCATAGCCTGCACCACACAACTTCCACCATATACATTGCACCACGTAGACTTGTAGACTTCACAGTATAGCTTTCGGCGATGTGGTTTTGCATCACATAGCTTTCACCGAGCTTGAGACGATGTGGGTTTGCGAAGACGTCTCAAGCGAAACCGCGCAGACACGAAACCAAACCAAGCAAATTTCAAGAACGTCTCAACGAAACCAGCCCCAAACCAGGCCACATCATGGGCCAAACCAGGCAATGCTTGAGGATGTCTCAGGCAGGGCACCCGGCCAAACCAAACCAAACCAGGGGCCAAACAAGGACAATTCGGAGGACATCTCAAACGAAACGCCCCAAACCAGGCTCCATCCACTTTCCTGGATTAACTTACATTGGAAGGAGTGGATGGCCCAAGGGCCCAAGGGCCCGTCCTGCGCAGGGGGTCTTGTCATTTGAATTTTACGGGGGCGGGGGGGCGCTTACAAAAAGTGAGTGATTTTGACGATGATTGTTTTTGAATCATTGTTTTTGTTCGGGCTCGCGCGCAGCCCCCATTCTTGGGGCCTCCGAACGCTTCTCCGACGGCGATCGCGTGCTGTGGCTGGGCCGCACCAGGATGTGCACGCCTGGGGCGCAACAGCATGTATGTGGCCAGAGCGCCACAACGTGCATTCATCTTGCGAGTGCTCTCGGGGCAGCGGTGCCGCGCTGGGAGAAATAACTTCCCGAGGCTGTGGAAGGCCAAACCGCAGGCAAGTCAAGCACATGATTTTTATTTCGGGAGCGGCCAAGAGGGGGGTGTCCAAGAAGGGGGGGGTGCAAATCATGACAGGCGGCATGTGCGCGGCCCAGCGGGGGGGCCAGGGACGTAATGAAATAAGAAGAGGCGCCATGAAATCTGAGGAAAAATCATGGCCCGCGCCATGAAATCCACCCCCCCCTAGTCATCACCCCCCTCTTTTCCGCTCCCGAATTGTTCGCGGTAACGCCTGTGACCGGGCCTGCCCGGCCCCAACTTCCACCCCGTGGTCACGTCACGATTCGCGCCGGCGCCGTCTGGGAGTGAGACATCCTCAAACGTTATCTCAGGCGGCGCCTGGGCGGATGCCTCGCGACGTGACCGGCCCCCTCCCCCCCTGCCCACCCCCCAATCACCTCGGGGATCTTCTGACCCGGGTCAATCCAGACCCGGGTCAGCAGGAAACAAAAAACTGCAATGCAGGAACAAAAAACTGCAACGCAGGTCTTCGCAAACCCGGGTCAGTCAGTAGGCGCGGCCGTCTCGCGGCCACGAGCGGCTCCCTGACCCGGGTCAGCCAGAGGGGGTCTTCGCAGGATCCTGCAGGATGCAGCGCTCTGGCTGACCCCCGTCTGCATTGACCCCCGTCTCAAGGCTCCCGATCACCCCCGTTATCGCCCAGGGGTGCAAAAAAGCCGGCTACAGCGGTATCTGCACCTTCTCCTTGTCTCCCGCGCCCTCACCCTGGGATTAGGTCGGGCATGTCATCCTACAGGCGGATTCTTGAGGAAAAATGGAACAGATTCAGAACATATCCAAAAAGTAGTCCAACAAATAATCGGAAACTCGTCCCCATATTATTTTAAACTATTTCTGAATATTCATCCTGTAGAGGGACAGGCCCGACGTCACCCTGGGACGCACTCGCCAAGGGGGCCCCCCCGGCGGCCTGGACGGCGCACAGCAGAAGGCTCAGGTCCTCCCGCACCACCTGCGTCTCCCGGGACAGCGCGCTGACGTAGGAGCGGCGCCGCAGCGCGCTGGCGGCGGGAGCGCGGGCGACGGGAGGGCATGCAGGACTCTTCTTTCCTCCTCCTCCTCCTCCTCCGCCTCCTCCTCCTGCTCCTCCTGCGCTCTCTCCCTCTACTCCTCCTCCGCCTCCTCCTCCTCCTTCTCCTGCAGCTCCTCCTCCTCCGCATCCGCCTCCCCCTGCTCCTCCCAGCCCTCCTCCTCTTCCTCCTCCTCTTCCTCCTCCTCCTCCTTCTCCTTCTCCTTTCCTCATCAATCACTCCTCCCTGTTGCACCCCGAGACGTGTCGGCAGGGGGGGCCAAGCGTTTCGCTTGAGATCCCTCACCATTTAGGTTAGGATTCTGAAGCTTCAACCGTGCAGCAAGTTAACGCCATGGAGGGCGGTACCTTTTCAAACTGTGGTTCTCGCCCCCCCCCATGACGGCTCAGAATGCCCCCAACATGGCCCAAGAGGACCCCGAGAGAGCCACAAGGCGGCTCCGAGAGGCCCCCAAGACGGCCTCTGAAGGGGCCTGACTGCGCAAGAGCGCCCCAAGACGACCCACGAGGCCTTCCAAAGGCCCCAAGAGGCCCCAAAGAGGCCCCCAAGAAGCCCCCGAGGGCCCCCAAGAAGCCTCCAATAACTACGCCCCAAACAGCCCCACCACCAAGACACCCGCGGAATTGTATATGAATGGAGCGTTGTTGCGATGATCATCGGAATTTGAACTTGGTGTTGCCTTGTGCTGACACGCGGTGAATGTCCGTTGGCCTCGTGAGCATTCGCACGCTCCTCCCAGCGCTGGAACGGGGGGGGCGCATCTGTCCCCCGTAGCACTGGCAGCGCCCTGGGGCGGGCAAACCGACACGGCAGAACGTCGCTGCAGACGAGCATGGCAAACCACCCAACGCCCAGTCTTCGCGTGCTCTGGACGTGCACCCCGCGAAGCGAGCGGAATCCGCCCGCCCACCGGGCTGAGGGGCGTGTGAGATTGAACCGTGAGAGCTCCTCACACGGCTTTAGCACACACTTCTTTTTCCACCCTAAGAGGACTCCACCATTCGGCCGCCCGGCGGCGGCATCGATCCATTTCGAGCCTCAAGACAGCTTCAAGATGGCTTCTAAAACTCGCTCGACTTTCAGATCCTGCTTGCGACGCTTTGGGGGCACATTTCGGCTTCATTTCGGCCCTTTCGGGGCCCCGTCTTTTTCTCCACAGCCAGCTCCTGGGACCCTCCAGAGCTCCTCTGGGGCCCAACTGCGAGTGCAAACTGGGAACTTCAAACATATACACAGAACGTTTGAGATTTTTGATGACTTTTGCATCGCCCCAGGGTCGTCAGGACGACTTCCAATCGGGCTCGCCTGGGCCATTCTCAACTATGGGAACTTCGTCCCCGATTTGGGGCGTTTCCGGTATCGGTTCTGCACGATTCTGGGCCTGGGCCCCCCAAAACGGAGCCCAAACCAGCCTAGATCCGGGCCCGGTTTCCCAAGAAATGCAAACGGGGCTCGGGCCAATCATAGGGATGCTCGCGCTTGAACCGTCCAGAAGCCTGCCTGGGCAGCCTCGGGCCCTCCTTGGGCCCATTTTGGTTGTCTGCAGAGCCCTCTTCGGCCCTCGAGGGCGCCTCTTAGCCCGTCAGGGGGACCTTTCGGGTGGTTTTGTGGTCGCCTTTTTGGCTGGTCTTCGGCAGTGCTCTGGCTGTCTCCGTCTTCCTGCTGCGGACAGGGAGCAGGGGTTCATAGAGCCAGGGCTCATATCACTGATCCGTTGGTCATGTTGAGGGGCTGACGGCCGATCGTCAAACTTAACATCGATCGGTCACGCGGCATACCTAAGCCCAAATCGGTGATGGGATGGACATCGATAGAGCGCAGCACAAAAATACAAAACGCACCTGCGGGGATCGGTCACTATTTTCGGAATACTGCCATACCGTCTTGGAGCCGTCGTCGTCTCTTCCGGCGAGATATGCAAGGGGCGGGCGGTGAACGCGGAGCGTCTTGAAGAAGGAACAAGGATGGAGGCGGAAGAGGGGGATGATGAGGAGGAGGTAACCTAACACAGGGGTCCGAATCTTTCGACCATCGGTCTGAACGCAGAGGAGGAGGAGGAGGAGGAAGAGGTGGAAACGTGTGTGTGTGTGGGTGGGGGGTAGTGGGGCAACGACTCTCAACGGGAGACGCGGTCAACACACGAGCCAATAGAAAACTGGCTCGAGGAACAAGCTGGCCAGCCACTGAGCCAGGTCGGAACGTCACGGATTCGACCGAGCTGGAAACAACCTGATCGACCCCTGGCAAACATCCAGGTCGGCAACGACTATCGAGTCGGCAACGCTACACATTCGATACGACCCGATTAGGGTCGAACCGGGTCAATCGAATCGAACGGGCTCCTGATCGTCGGGAGCGGCCAAGAGGGGGGCGTCCAAGAGGGGGTGGTGTAAATCAGGACCGGTGGCATGTGCGCGGCCCAGCGGGGGGGCCAGGGACGTAATGAAATAAGAAGAGGCGCCATGAAATCTGGGGAAATATCATGGCCCACGCCATGATATCCACCCCCCCTAGTCGTCCCCCCCTCTTTTCCGCCCCCGAGATAGGGGGGACGTGAGATAATCATAATTGACATGCGCATGCCCTCTTCAGAGGCCCGCGGGATTTTCTCGGATCGGCGCTGCCCCCCCCCCTCCCAGCGCGGGGAGCGCGCGTCAGGGCCGGCGTCAGACGCGCCGCCCAGGGAGGGCAGCGCAGACCCAGGACATCTCCGCGGCACTCCACTGCTCGGCGTGGGGAGGGGGAGATCATCGACCTAGACTTAAGTCGGGCCTGTCCCCCTACAGGGGGACCTTGGAGGAAAAATCAAAAGTACCACAAAAAGACCCCCCAAATGCTCAAACATGGTAACAAATGGTCCCCTGAGTATTATTTTCTGATTGTGGAATACAGTATTCGTCCTGTGTAGAGGGACGCGCCCGACTCAAACCTAGACGCAAAAGGGGGCAAGCTGGGAAGGGGTTGAGCTGGGCACAGGGCGCCCCCCCTTCTGCCAAGTGGCTCTGGCCGACGACGAGGGACCCCCCACGTTGCCCGGGGCGGTCTCGACCCTCCGGCGCCGCCTCCAGCGCAGCGGCGCTCTGCGCCCCAAGGCTGGGGTGTTGAGTCTGCCCCGAGCTACTCGGGGGGCCTGGGGGAGAGGGAGGAGGCAGGAGGAGGAGGGGGAGGAGGGGCAGGAGGAGGAGGAGGAGGAGGAGGAGGAGGAGGCGGAGGAGGAGGAGGAGGAGGAGGCGGAGGAGCAGGAGCAGGAGGGTGAGGGTGAGGGCGAAGAGGAGGAGGAGGAGGAGGAGGAGGAGGAGGAGGAGGAGGAGGAGGAGGAGGAGGAGGAGGAGGAGGAGGAGGAGGAGGAGGAGGAGGAGGAGGAGGAGGAGGAGGAGGAGGAGCGGGACACGCCCGACTTACAACTTCCGCTCGGCGTCTCGCAGCGGCGGCCCCTGCGGCACGCTATGCCCTGCAGACCTCTGACGCAGCGCTCCGCCCCCCGCGACCCCGCCCGCGACCCGCCCACGGACGACCCAGCCCGCAACCCCTCCCCCGCGGCCCTCCCGCGACCCAGCCCGCGGCCCCCCCGCGACCCGCCCGCGGCCCTCCGCGCCCCCCCCCCCCCGCGACCCAGCCCGCGCCCCCCCCCCCCCCCCCCCCCCCGCGACCCCGCCGCGAGCGACCCCCCCTGCGACCCACCGCCGCGGCCCCACCGCCGCGCCCGCGCCCGCGCCCGTCATGGGTCGACTCCTGCCCCCGCGGGCCGCGGGGCCGCTGCGCCGAGAGCCTCCCCCACAGAGGGCGGCGAGGCGCGTGGCGCCCCCGAAGGCCCCGGCCCCCGCGGCGGCGGCGGCGGCGGCAGGCCCAGACCCCCGACGCCATGATTTTTTCGTTGCGTCGACCCCTGGAGGTGTCGACCCATCGCCCTGGACTGCAGGGCTGGACCTAAACGTTGTTTTCCGTGTTGGTTTCGTTTTGCGTTTCATTGTTTGCTCTACCTGTTTGTTCCTGTACCTCCCCCTCCCAAAACGAAAAGCAAAGCTCAGCCGAAGTCCAGCAAAATAGCGTTTAGGTCCAGCCCTGCTGGACGGGGTTTTCATCCCGAGTCGTTTTTTGATAGTCGACGTAATTGAAAAATCGAGACCTCTGGTAAGGGCTCCTCTTACCGGCCATCGGGAACGTCAAAAAACGACTCAGGCTGAAAAGCGGGTCCAGGGGAATGGGTCGACCCATTCTGGACCAATCTGGACCGGTACTTTTCATCCCGAGCCGTTCCTTGACGGGCCCGAGGGCGGGCAAGGGCCCCTGCAGGAGCCGAAACTAGCAAACAACCCTCCGTCAGGCGGATTTGTTCATTACCCGAGGGGGTCTGGGCCGCCTCCACGCTTGAGCAGGGACCGACCGTCCCGGCATTCCTATAGGCCTACCACGACATGTTTTTAGAACCCGACAATGTTCTCAGAGTAAAACCAATGCTCTTAGAGAATGAGTCCCATGCGTTAGAACAAGACAGTCCCAGCCAGAAATGTTCTGATAACATCTCGCGCAGGTCACAAAAGGTTCTTAGAACATTGTTTGGTAGGCCTAAAGTGAAGTCGGGCCTGTCCCCCTACAGGGGGATTTTCGACGAAAAATAAAAAATACCCCAAAATGCAGCTAAAAGGCTAACAAATATTCAAAAAATAGTCCCCAGACTTTTTTTTTAAACTATGTTTAGGGTATTTCTTATTTTTCGTCGAAAATCCCCCTGTAGGGGGACAGGCCCGACTTAATGGTAGGCCTAAAGGCTAGCCAGGACGCTTCGCCACTGCTTCAGTCGCGCGGCGGCGGCGCGGCGTTTGCGCGGCGCGGCGCGCCCGTAGCTGAGCGGCCCCGCGCTCGCCGAGCCCCGCCGCGTCGACGAGGAGCCTCTGGCCGAGCGGGCGCCTCCCCGGGGGGGGGCCGCCCGCGGCCGGGCCGCGGCGGCGCAGGAAAGCGCTTGGCCGGCGCTCGCCGAGGCCGGCGGGAGGACGAGGACCCAGACATGATCGCGTCGTTTAAAACAAAAAATCAGTACACAATTTTTGGCCAATGTCGACCTCTGGGGGCCCTCGCCGGGCCTCAGGACCGTCAAGAAACGACTCAGGACGAAAAACCAGCCCTGGGGAAACGGTCGAGACTTGCAGGGAAGCCGTCCTGAACAAATCAAGACGTCGCATATCTGGGCCGAGATCCTAGCGACTCAATTTTTTCGAGCCGGGCGTTTACGCCTTGTTTCGGGTCCTGGGACCCTCACAGATCGATCCGGCTCGGAAAATGAAGCAGAAAGATGGGCTCCGGGGCTCCAGGCGCGGATTTTCACGATGTTGTATTTTTTTCGCTACGTCGGATCTCAGGGTACGGCAGGTTCGTGTCGTGACGACTCCGGCGTTGGTTTCTGACACCGCGGGGATCGTTCAGCCTTGAACGATCGGCCGTTTCCGAGACGTCCAAGCCGTTCCACATCGAAAGATTCTGGGTCGCCCGCGGCGTTCAAAGTTCAACGCCGCTGGCGGGGTCGCCGCCGATCGGCACGACGCGAACCTGCCGTATCTGCCCTCGCCCTCCTCCCGCGAGGTCGTCGACGGGAGGACGAGGATGATCAATGATATTGACAAAAAACAATTGTATGTGTCGGTTTTGGGTTTCTGTGATTTCTTCTGGCTTTTACATCGGTGATTTTGTCGAGCACTTCATTATCTTGGACAGCATTCCAAGTTTACCTATGATGGCGTTTTCATATCAATGGATCACATGGTAAGCAACACGATTAAGAACTCACTACCGTCTGTAGAGGTTGGTCTGCTAGGTTCAATATCTAAACTCAATTTTTATTGACAACGCTTAGTATAATCTGTTGCCCTAGAAACAATGGAGGCCAGTCCACAAGAGACCTTCCACAAGAAACCCAGCCCCCCCCGAGACCCCAGGACGTCCATCGAGCTTCGGCGCGGGAGCGCCGCGCTACCCATCGCAAGACCATCGACACCCAAGAAACCCAGGGCACCCTGGAGGCAAGCAGGGCGCTCCTTGGTACGGGCCCCCACTGTATTCCTCCCCCGTTCCTCCTCCTCCTCCTCCTCCTCCTCCTCCTCCTCCTCCTCCTCCTCCTGGGCCCCCACTGGAAGCTCAGAGCGTTTCCGCCGGTCCTCGCCCTCCGCCCGCCAGATCGACTGCGGCCCCGGCCGCTCCGGCGCTGAGGCGTCCAGGAGCGCACGGGTGGGCGCCGGAGGCGGCCGAGAGGTCGGGACCTGGCTCGGGACGAGGCCACCTCCGCTCAGAACCGGTCCCCCTTTAAAACGACGCGAAGATCGGGACAAAATCGGATCGGGATAACTCGAAATCTCTGAGAATCGGCGGGTTTGGAGGATGTACTGGGCGCCGCGGCCGCTCCAGGGCGTTCCGGAACGCTCTGAGAGCGCTCCGGAACGCTCTGGAGCGATTTATCCCGATCCTAGACCTGTTTTACCCTCCCCCCCTGGGTCCCTCTCGTGTAACTGTTCGCCCTGGATCCGTTTCGGACGGCGCCGGGCCCCCGGAGACCGGAAAATGCAGAAGACTTCCTCGCACAAGAGGCACCTCGAACCTCGCCCCCTCCCCTCCTGCTCGCCGGAACCACTGGAACCACTGCCAGGCCACCTCAGACCCCCAGCCGGCTCCAAGGTGGGTGGGTGGGTGGAGGAGGAGGAGGCGGAGGAGGACGAGGAGGAGGACGAGGAGGAGGAGGGAGGGGGGGAGGGAGGGACGGAGGGAGGAGGAGAGAGGAGGAGGAGGAGGAGGAGGAGGAGGAGGAGGAGGAGGAGGAGGAGCAGGAGGAGGAAGGGAAGGAGGACGAGGGTGGAAAGAGGCTGCTGCTCCCCGTGGAGCATTCTGTCATTGCCGCCCGCGGGAGGGGTGTTGGGCGAGGCGGGCTCGCTGGCGGGGAGGGCCGAGGATCGCGGAGGACCGAGGAGGATCGACGGCGATCTGAGGACCCCCCGCCCCCGGACCGTCAAGAATCGGGGGCGGCCAGGAGGGGGACGTCCAAGAGGAGGGGGCGCAAATCATGGCCGGGGGCGCGTGCGCGGCCGAGGACGAGGACGAGGACGAGGAGGAGGGGGAGGAGGAGGAGGAGGAGGAGGAGGAGGAGGAGGAGGAGGAGGAGGAGGAGGAGGAGGACGAGCCCCCCACCCCGCGCTGGGTCCTCCAGAGATCCAAGACTGCCGCGCCTCGGTGCCGTCGCGGAGGGACTGCAGGCTGCTCGCCGCGCTGAGCGCCGGGCCCACCGCGTCTGCACGGGGGGAAGGGAGGGAGGGTGCCAAATGAGAGCAGGAAGGCGGAGTGAATGAGGAGGCCGATGACGAGGATGGGAGCGTAGCCCGTACTCGGCCGCTGGTCCCTTCTTCTTTCCCAGATCGCTGAAAAAACGGGCCATGAGGCTTCCCGGCTTCCAAGAGGGCCTCCATCACGGCTTACACCATCATGTTCCCCGCCGCTGGTCCGAGGATGAGGACTAGGCGGAGGAGGGAAGCTCCTTCGCCTCCCTCTCGGGGGCGCGCAAACATGGATTAGCGATGCATGGATTTGGCACGCGGTCGCCAAATCCATGGATCGGGGGAGGTGCCCTCCCCCAAAGCGCGGACGGTACCGCCATCCGCGATTGCCCATGGGAACGGGACCCGTCGCTAATCCACGCCCCCTTGATCCATGTTTGCGATCGCCTGACCCTCGACGGCCGGACCCAGGGAATAACATCCTTCAAGAACATGAAGCCCTCCGCTGGCCAAGGCACACCCCGAGCTATGACATCACTTGGGGGGACCCTCCCCTAGGATGCACAAAAACATCCAACACACACGAAGAACATGAGGGCACTCTCCCGGAGCCGACCTCGAGCTGATACCTCGGTCCGGCCGTACTCTTGAATCCTCCTCATCCTCGTCTCTCTGGGCCTACCAGTGGAGGCCAGTCCACAGGAAACCTTCCACAAGAAACCCAACCCCGAGACCCCAGAACGTCCACAGGTTTTTGGTGGTGTGGGAACGCCACGCTCCTTCCACGACAAAAAAGCATCGAAACCCAAACAATACCAAGGGCACCCTGGAGGCAAGCAGGGAGTTTCTTGGCATGGGCCCCACTGTATCCCTCCTCCTCCTCCTTTTCCTTCTCCTCCTCCTCCTCCTCCTCCTCCTCCTCCCCCTCCTTCCCTCCTCCTCCTCTCCTCTTCCTCCTCTTCCTCCTCCTCTTCCTCCTCCCCCCCAACTCTCCGTAGAGGTGCAGCGAGATCGGGGGCGGGCAAACATGGATTAGCGATCCATGGATTGGGTGCGCGGTCGCCAAATCCATGCATCGGGGGAGGTGCCCTCCCCAAAAACGCGGCCGGTGTGCCGCCTCGTTCGGCGGCGGAAAACCGCGGTGTCCCATGGAATCGGGAACCAGTCGCTAATCCATGGCCCCTTGTCTATGTTTGCGATTGCCAGATTCTTGCTCTCGCCTCCGCCTCCAGTTGTCGCCGCTGCGCCACCTCCCCCGCATCAACCTGCTCCTCCGAGTGGGGCGGCTCGCTCGGTGGCTCCAGGGGATGCGCTGGGACAGGCTGACATACACACATATATATATATATATATATATATATTTCTTTCACCCCCCCAATTGAAAAGGTTCAGGCCGTCGTTTCGGGGACCAACGGTGCCCCCATCGGCCAAGGGCTCTCGGAGGAGCATCCACAGCCGTGAACTCAGCACGTGGCGCCGCTCGCATCGTGAGCCCCCTCACGATGGCTCGCGGACGGTCTGACCAGGCCGCAGACAGGGTGCGGTGGCGTCGTGAGGACACCCTCAGGCACGCTTCAAACTGCTGAGCTGGAGATCCAGCTATCCCGAACACGCCGAGCGTAAAGCGCTGACAACAGTGGCATCACAACATGCAGCACGCAGCAGTAAAATCTTTAGAGGTGCAGGGAAAAGGAAGAGGAGGAGACAAAACCAGTAAGATTGCCCCGAGGGCTCACTAGCCCTCGACATTCTAAAACCAACCCAATCGGCAACAAGTTTTTGGAAAAGCGGGATCGACAGTAGTGGTGCACATCGTCTAAATTAAGATTCCCTTCCTGAGCGCAACCAAACAGACAACCCCGTGGTTCAGTGCGGAAGCGCGAGGACGTATTAGTGGAGTTCGTGAGGAGTCTGAGGGGGGCAACGGACAAACACATCGAAGTGTGCTTCGCCATCTCCGCAATTTCCTGCAGACGACCTCCACATACTTAGCATAGATGGAGGAGCTAACCTTCTGTGCCCACCTAAGAAAAATCTCTTTCGCACCATCATGTTTGTCCTGCCGTCGGGCAACATGGTATATCTGTGTCTGAGGGTTTTTCTTCTGGATGTCGATGGGCGGCTCAATCGAACGAAAGCAATCCAGGGGCCTCCGAAGGTGAGAGAGGAACGATGCTGAGTGCCAGCCCGTATGCCACCGAAAGGGAATATGCTTAATATCGGTCCGACTGTTTTCAAGCAGCGCAAGCAATTGTTCTAGAACAGTCGAGCGGATGGCAACTCTCGTGCTCGTAGCAGTAGAGACTGCGTGCACGTCGGGAAACTCGGCCCCGAGGACGACCGCGCACAGCTGGGTGGCACGCTCGTGGGAGATAGCATGCCTGGGCCCCACCGTGAGGAGCAATACTCCATCTTTGAAACAGGGTACCAGTTCACCACTGGCGGGGCGCAGCTGAAGTCTGATCTGCAGTTAAAAAAACACATGTCACAAGCAGCAACCGCATTAAGCGCCAGACTAAGCCCAAGAGCACGCGCGAGGCAAATCCGATTGCGGAATTTGGGATGCACCGAGCCCTAAACATGGAGGTGCCCATCAGGCCCGATAGGAATGCCAATATACACCGCCCATGAATCCACCGAGAGCTTGTCCGCTGGATCTCCAGAGTCCTTCCGAACCTGTTTAAGGGTGTTCAAGTCCAAGTCCCCGCAACCTACGACCTGACACGTGGCGAAATTCACTTTCAAATTTGCAGCGTCTTCGAACATCTGGAACCCATTGAGAATCGGCCCTCGATCCTAGAGAGTATTTCTGAAGCCCAAACGATGGGTCGTTCGCACGCGCAAGATTGAGACAAAGGTGGTGGGAGTAAACGTGTCGGATCCAGCGACGGGGAGGATCTGCGGTCAAAACATAAAGCAACAACGAAGCAGGGCATCCCTGTCCGACGCCAGATTGCATCGCCACCTTACCGGACAGTTGACCAGCGAGAAGGATCGCGCCGATATTGTCGGCGTGCATCTTGCGAAGGAACCGAACTGCGCTCTACGGGAGACCCATGCATTCGAGAACGCGAAGCAACAATTCCGAGGATAGCGATGGGGTGGCTGCAGAGAAACCCGCGAGGAAGAGCGAGGCATGAGGAACACCTGCCATGTGCTGGTGAAGGCCCCACGTCTCGGCTCGAACAATGTGCGCCGCCATTTCCCTTCCGCTGAGACATGTCTGATCTTTGCCAACAACAGAACTGATATTTTCCGTCATCGTATTCGTAGAAGCGTTTACACCCTGTTTGATATCCGCGTTGCTCATGCTCGAAGGGCGGGAGCAGGGGGCGCGCCGTAAGAGCTCGACCCCGTCCGCAGGGTCCTTCGGGTCCGCGCCCTTCGGAAATCAGACCACGAGGCTCTCGCGCATGGCAGCCGGGGGAGAGGAGACCTGATCGGTGAAGAGGGTGGAGTAGACGTCGTATAGAATCCAAGCTGTCTCTGCATTCCTCCATGTGGAGTAGGGAATTCCGTCGGGGCCGGGCATGCTATAGGGCCCCTGGAGAATGGCTTCGTACCAGAGAGTATATGGGGGGCTTCCAGTCCATCGCGAGGGGGTCGGGGGATTCCTGGATGCGGGGCTCAATCTGGGGCCAGAGGTCAGTCCGAACGTTAGGTTTCTTGAAAACGTCACTGCGGTGATCCCGTCGGGTCTCAGCCGAAACCTGGGTCGTTTCAATCGGGTGTCCGTCGTCGCCATTGATGCCCATGATAAAGGTCCGCCGTGGAAAACGTCGCCAGGGTTCTTTGCGCCGAGCGTTGCGAGCAAGCAGAGATCTTTTCTGTTCCTTCTCAATCCCCATCACCTCGAGAATCTAGTAGATTAGTGCCTGGACATGCTGGCGCGACCCGTCGATGCGGCGGCAAACAGACAAGTCAGGGTTGAAGTGTGCGCGGAGCCTCGGGTAGCGCTGCGCGGCCTGGCCCCGTTGGCGGCGCGCGCCCTGGCGAGCGGCGCGGAGGGCAGCTAGCGCATGAAAGTGGCGTTCCTGCAAAGTTGTCGCCTCGCGGGAACGCGTGGCAGCTTGGGCGGCAGCAGCTGCCTCGCAGCAGCAATCCTTCGCATGTTCTAGCTTATTCCAGGGGCCCCGCCCGGAGGGACTTCGCTGCAGGAGGCCGTCGAGGGCCGCGTGAAATTCAGGCAGGGCGGTAACCCACGGGGCAATCTTCCGGATGTCCGTCCGTCGAGGGCTTGAACGGGGCAAGAGTTGCGACGGCTGGGGCGCGGCAACTGCGCGTCGACGACTCGAGCGAACCATCCGCGCGAGCCCGAATGCCGAGGTCACGACGGAGACCAGGTGGAAGAGAGGTGTAGACCCGATCGGTCTGATAAGTAGACGACACAGCATGTCCACTTGTCTCTGCGAGTGTCCTGGCCATGGAATATGTCAGTCACCATGGGGAAGAACAAGTCAAGAAGTCTGGGGTGGGCGGCGCCCCCGAGTGAAAACGCGCCAGAATCGCAACGCATACGACCTTCGTCCTCGAGCACGCAGTTGAAGCCTCCGATCAGCAGACAACGCGCGTGCTTCCCATCTCCGCAAGGAAGGTGAAGTCGCAAATCCTGTCTGAGCTTGGACAACCTCTGAAAGTCGGCATGGGGTCGCTTGCGCTCGGGAAGCGAGCGGAGGTTATAAGCCACAGGGTTCGGTTCCCACGGGGGCCAGAAAGGATGGCCTTAAGAATCCCCCCCCCCCCCCCCCCCCCCATGCCGCATTTCAGCGAAGCTGCGGGCGGCGAGGCGAGCAGATAACGAAATGGGCGCCCCACCTTCGTGGTTGGAGCCGAGGAAAGAGGCCGAACTGGTGCGCGCGGAGCTCCCGCTCCAATGGATGAACATCGCCGATGTGGCAGTGTGTCTCCTGTGTGCAAACACTGTCATGCTTCTGAACAGTGCGCATGTATCTGTAGTGCCTTGACGTCGCCGTCATACTCGATGCGCGCGCTGACGCCACCCCAGCCTGACAGTTCCACGCGCAAGCAGGGAGAGGGACATCAGGAAAGCAGTGCTCCAATTCGCGCGCATCCAACCCTGGAGGTGAAGGGGGGGGGAGGGGATCTGCCGGCGCGCGCGGGCAAGCCGCTTCGAAATCGAAAGGGGCGCTGAAGCTGCGCCAGCGCTGCTTCAGCGCTGCTACTCGGGCTGCGCGTTGTAAAATGCCAAACTCGAGCAGGGCGTCGCGTTCTAGACAGCAAGTGGCGTTCCCTTGGCTGTCGACGGAAATAGCGGCCGCCTGCGCAGGGTCGCGCGGGCCGCGAAGCACATGGACACAACCGCCAAGTCCCGACGAGCCTACTTCCAGCCCTTTGTCGCGGACCAGGTCTGAAATACGATTGCGAGCTTCGCCTGGGGACAGGAACAGTTGGCGGCGGTTGAGATTCATGTCGCGGCGATGCCTTAGCGATAGATTGGCCGATTGGTTCAGCGGGTCTGCGTAGTCCCACGACAGGTTCTTCGCCGGGGAGCTGTCGAGGAATATTCCTGCAGCAGTCGGTGTCTCGAAGCGGAGGGTGACTTTTTCCTCGCGCCGAATGCGCGCGCAACGATTCTGTTCGCATCCGAACTCGGATCAAAAGTGGCGCGACAGGCTTCGCCTATGAGACGGAGGTCTTTGATCCGCACCTTGAGAGTAAAACCCAAGATGACAACTTTACATGTCTGACCTTGAAGTTGGCCTTATCCCGAGGAGCGTCTGATGGAGAGGATCGGGGCGAGCGAAAACCAGGGGTAGGTGTCGATCCCATGTCTGCGAGCTGCTTTTACGAAATGTATGGACGAGAGGTGAGGTCGGCAATGGGGGCTTCCAACTTCTCAAACTTCGAATATAACGTCGACGAGATCACGCCTGTGTCCATACGATCACGACCAACGTTGATCGCACAATTCTGGACGTCCTGCCGCAGCTTCTGGATCCTGAGGTCCATGTCGCGAACCGAGCTGGAGACAAACCCTTGGAAGCTCCTGGCGTTTCGTCTGTACTTCTCTGCCGGGCAAAGTCATCTGGTAAGAAAGCTGCGAGCATCGTTCGATCGAGAGTTACAAACACCCATAATCGCCTGGACATCCGGAGCCTGGTTCGCCACGGCCTGACTCAAGCTTTCCATGCGCCCGATACTATGGTTTAACTTCGTGGTCGTGTTGCCGCGCTCCTTCGAAGGGCTGCGTGTCGCAGACAATGAACGGCTGCGATATGTGGAAGAGTCGCGATGGCGACGGTGTCCCGCACGGTGCTCATTGTGTTTTCTCCCCATGCCATGCGGTGGCGAGAGCGAGGTTGCCTGCTGCGGCCAACAGTGGAAAGGAATGAGTCGGATGCCGAAAATGTGGCCCCACCTCATGCGTGGTGGGCTGCGAGGACGGGCCACGCGCTGAACTGGCAAGCTGCCTCGACCAATGTGTTACGTGAGCCAAAGTGGCTACGGAGCTGTGACAGGCTGACGTGAAAGTTCCTGGGGCAGCTCCTGGGGTGAGTGTATGGTGCTCCTTGTGAGAGGCATCTTCATGTAGGGCGACATTGGTTTCATGATTGGATAAAGCCAAAATGCGTTGCAGGTTAATGCCGGACCACCAATCGACCCCTCGTTGCTGCAGCCCGTGTGAAACATTTGCGGCGCCTTGACGCCAGGGCAACCTGGGAACGTATCATTATCATGACCTCTTGCTCTTCGGAGAGGAAGGGACAGGCTATTACCTTGTCGTCGGCATTTCGTCCTGAAACACTCACTGCCGATCGTCGGGGGATGCCGCCAACAAAAAAGTCGGAGTCGATGGGGTCGGAAGATCGCGCCGGGGCTACGTCGGGACGGGGAGAACCAAGCTCCGGATCGACACGCATCGCCGATGCATTGGCGATGCGGCGCGATCTTCCGATCCCATCTTCTCGGACCCCTTTTCGGCGGCCTGTAGACTGGTGTCTCGACGCGTTCTTTTCCGAGTGCTCCTTTGCGCCCAGCAGCGGGTAATCAGAGGTATGTGATTCGCCTGCGCCCTGACGGAAAAGGAGAACAAATGGCAAAGGGGTGACAGAAAGAGGCTGGAAGATGCCAAGGGCTGAAAAATCGAGGTTCGAGGATGTGTTTCGCATTTTTCGGCATCCAGGGAACCGCCTCGGGCCACAGGCAGTTACACGTCGGTGTGGATGCATGCTGGTCAGGATGGAGCCCGGGAGGAGTCCGTGGACCGATGCTGGGCGGGCTCGAGTCGGGGGGCCTGAGCAAGGGGCGGACGAATGAGTGACCACCACGCTGGGGCTGGGTGGGCATGGCCAAGGCCAATGGATTCTGCTGACTAACTGCCGTGCCGCGCGAGACGTTACAACGTTGGCATTGGGGGGAGGAGTGTTTTTTGTTCCAGCGACGCATCACAGCCAAGCTCGGCTGATGAATCCCTTGGTCGTCCGTATGCGTCAGAGCACGAAAGACAGCGCGCCCCAACGACGTTGCGTCAGGAGAGCTGGATGGTCCACCAGCGTGGCTGCCGGCCGTCAGGCGGATCGGAAGAAACTGTGGACATGAACCAGGCATCGGAGTCGGAGTCGGACGGAGGCGCCGGAGGAGGCGCCAGAGGCGTCCGCCGAAGCCGCCGAAGGCGCCCGTTCCGCGCCCCCTCCAGGCCCCGCACCCGGCGAGCGGGACGGCGCCCGTGCCGTGGAGGCAGCTGGCGACGGCTACGACGCGGAGATCGAGGCCGCAGTGGTTACGATCAAGGCCCCCGCGGCGGCGGCGGCGGCGACCAAGGCAGCTTCGTTCGCGACCCCCGCGGCGCCCAGCGAGCAGGAGGCGCTACAGGCGCTGCAGGCATGGCGGGGGAGGAGTGTCCTGGACGCCGGAGTCGGCGACGCGTGCTCCTGCGCGGCCGGTGGGTGCTCGGCGATCCGAGGTCGGCGGGCGCCGCCTCTCCGCTGGCGGCTCTGCTGCGCCGTTTGGTGGTCTCGTGCAGTCGGCTCGGCCTCGAGCGCCGACCACCAGGGGGGGACACGACCGTCGCGCCACCACCAATGGGGTAAGCCCCGAGGTGGTGGTCCAGAGTCCGGCCTGGCGGCCGAAGGCGTCCACGGCGCCGAAGCAGACGGCGTATGCGGGCGGAGGGGCGGGCGACGACAAGACGACGCCGCCGCCGAGAGGAAAGGGGCGGGGGGGGGGGAAGCACTGTTTCCTTCGGTGGCGAGGCGGGGCAACCCGCTCCAGCGTGGCAGCGGATGCAGGAGCAAAGCGAAGTGGCCGGCATGCAGGAGGGGAAATATCCGGCATGCGGGAGGAGGGGAGAGGACCAGGCGGCCGCGCGGGGGGGAGGAGGAGGAGGAGGGGGAGGAGGAGGAGGAGGAGGGGGAGGGGGGGGTGGGAGGAGGAGGAGGAGGAGGAGGAGGGGGAGGGGGGGACACACGACTCCAGTGGCAAGGATGCCCCGAGTGGCCGCCGCGCGCCGTGCGCGAATGGGGGAGCGGCGACGTGCCGCGAGCTCCCGCGGAGGTCGGCTCGACGGGGCCTCGACGATAGCTTGCGGAGTTCAAGGGATCTCACGGCTCGTGCACGGCGAAAAGGGGGATGGGGGTAGGGAGGAACGAGTAGGGGAGGGGAACAGTGAGGGGAGGAACGGGCACTCCAGATTTCAAGGGGGGGGGGGGGGACGTGATCCTTCCAGACCAGCAAATTTCCCCCCCCCCCCCCCCCCCCCCCCCCCCCCGAAACCAACTATGGAAGGGCGGCCTTTTGCACAGACCCCCGGAACTTTCCAAGACATCTCAAATCAGGCCCCCCCACATCAGACCATCTCCCTTTTATGATGAAATCGGGAGTGATGGAGGACGGTGATGTTGGGGGAGAAATGGGGGGGAGAGGGGGATGGCAGGCTGGGAGGGATGGGGGCGGGCATCAGGGGAGGGATGGGGGGCGGGGCAGGGAGGCGATGGCGGGAAGAGATCGTACAAAGCAGAACAGGCAAGGTTCGCCCAGGGGCCCGGAAAACGTTACATTGCGGGAATGGATGGGAAGGCGGATGGGAGGGGGATGGGGAGCGGGAGGAGACGGGGGCGGGGAACAAGGAAGCAGGGACGATGGAACAGTGGTGAGGCAAGGAGAAGCTATGCAATTGGGAGAGGAGGATGAGGAGGAGGAGGAGGAGGAGGAGGAGGAGGAGGAACGAGGAGCAAGATGAGGAGAATAAGTGGAAGCGGGAGGGAGGGGAATGAGGAGGAAAAGAACGAGGAGTATGAGGGGGGAGGGGACATGAGGGAAGATGGGGGACGACGAGGCAGGAAGGATGTGGAGGGAAGAACAGGATTAGGGGGATACCGGAGAAGCGAGCAGTGGGGCGGCAGAGACAGGACGAGGGACGAGGAGGGATACACGAAGACTTGAAGAGAAACGAGGGGAGCGTGAGAAGGAGGGAGTGGGAGGAAGGATGAGGCAGAGACGAGGGTGGATAGAAGGGGGATTCGAAAATTCGGGCCCCTGACGTAGTCAGAACGAACACCTCACTTAGACAGAGCCGTTGGCCTAAGACCTCTGCTGAAACGATTCCCTTGTTCTCGTCTGCCAGCAGTGATGGTGGATGGGACGCACGGCGAGGGTGGACACCGAGGGGAAATTGGGGGGGCGGAGGGGGGATGGTGGTGGGCGCGAGGATGGGGTTCACGAAAGGGAATGGGAAACGGGGGGGAGGGAGCGAGAGGAGAAGTGGGAGTGGATAGCCATGGGGGGGGGGACAACAAGAGAGGACATGCGGAGGAAGGGGAATGACGGGACCCACGTGCTCCCCCACCCGCCCGCTTCCCCTCACCATCGGTGGCCTGCCTTCCTCCCCCGCACATTGTTCTGCGTCTGTCGGGCACGACCAGCACTGGCAGTGTCAAAAGGAGCTCGATGGCCAGCTAAGCCCGCCTGACGGATACTTAGCTGAGCCACTGACCGCAGTCTAGCCTGCCCACCTAGGCTGCTCCTGCCTCCTCCTCAGCGGAATCTTCCTCGCCTTCCTCGTCGGCTTCGGCCTCCATGGCGCGCTGCGCCTTCTCCACCTCGCGCTGGAAGGCTTCCTTGCGACTCTCGGCCTTGGACAGATCCTCCTCCCGCTGCTTCTGCTGAGAGGCCTCCCACGCTTCGTCCTTCGCCTTCACCTTCGCGGCCTCGTCAGGAGGCAAGTACCGGACGCGCTTCTTGTGCGTCGTCTTGTGCGCCCTGTTCCACTGCCTCCGCAGCTTCCTCTGCTCCCTCACCTCCGTCTCGTTGTACCCGTTCTCGTCCCGGAGCTCCTGCACCCTCTTCTCCCACGTATCCTTCCAGCTGTCGGCCTGCTTCTTCCACTCCGCACGGCGCTGGCTGTCGCTCCCCTCCGCGGAGACCGCACGGCGCTGGGTGCTGTTGGAGGCCTGCCTGCGTAGCCGGTCCACCCAAGCATTGGCGTTTGCCTTCTTGTGCTGCCGCCGCATGTTCTCGGCCACGCCGGGGGGCATCTCCCAGCTCAAGATCTTGTCAACGTCGGTCGCGTTGGTGGACTGGACCTTGTAGGAATCGCACGAGAGGAGGCCGACCTCGGCGTAGCTGGTCGCCTTTACTGCTGCGGCAAGGGCCGCGGAATGCGAGAGCTTGTCATCAATAAGCATGCGCTCCCACGCCCGCATGAGAATCTCGGTGGCCTCTGGCGCGTCCGACAGGTGGATCACGCTGCCGTCGATCTGCTCAGTCACTTCTGCAGAGGCGTTGCCGCAGGACTGCTGAGCGAACAGGACGTTCTTGTGTGGGTCTGCAGAGTCCAGAACCTTGGAGAACGTGGCGCTCGGCGACGCGTACACGATCCTGGGGAATCTATCAGATACCGCTACCGCTACTCCATGTGCTTCTCCAGGGGTGAAATCTAACTAGGACCCGGAGGCGAATCCAGCCGTGGCGACTAGGACACCCGAGGAAGCCCCACAAGGCATGACTGATAG